CACATGCTTATTATTCCTACCCGGACATGATATCTATCCCGCATGCTAATTTCAAACAAATCATAACCGTATATTTGTCTAGTTCGCATGCTTTGAACAGAAAGTAAAGCAGGAAATAAAAACAACTTAGGGTTTGGAATGAGGTTTTAGGGTGGGCACTAATTCTTTGTACTCTCTCAGTTTAGGTTCTAAAAAGGTACTCGAGTTCTCCTTGGCGGTGTCCCCTTGGGTTTGCCAGACCCTTAATCCTAAGCCCATTACAAGCTTATGTGAACTAAGTTAAACTCAAGAGGAAACATTCCCTTATGGCCATACGGAGAATAAATTCACACGAAGGCATAAGGTATATGAATCCCGAAGGTTACTTGCTAGGCCCATACGGTGAATAAATTCACACGAAGGCGTCGCTTTCACCCCTACTTAAAAGGGTTCAGAGCTCGGGTATAGAGCCTTAGATGAAAATTTTGAAAATATGAAATCATCAAAAAATGTCAGTACAACTATTTATTTGAAAAATAATCAAAGGTAAGTAATTGGAATCAAATGAATAAATTAAAATTAAAATTAAAATTAAAATTAAAATTAAAATTTACCATTTTCGCATAAAAAGACAACCAAAAATTAATTTCGGCCTGACTCACTTACCGATCCCCAGCAGAGTCGCCAAGCTGTCGTAATCGTCTTTCAGTTGGGCCCCGAATTGGGCTTCGACATAAATGAGTTGGGTTAGAGTCGCCACCGACCACTTTAAAACGAATTTAGGTGGGTCAGACACAATCTTACCTGATCTGCGTTGTACCAGAAACGTGTCGGGTTCGGGAGTCGATTACGGTCAAGGAAGGATTAGCACCATTGAACCGCCCTTTCAGTACCAATTAATTTGTCGATAGTTTTTAATTGTGAAAATTAATAATTTAAATTTAAATTTAAAAATTCGATTTGAATTGTTTACCTTTGATCTATTGAAAGTATCCCTAAAAAATAAAAAACGTTAGATTGTAAAAATAAAATAAATAAAAAAATAAATATGAAAAAAAGGAAAAAAAATATATAATAATAGTAATAAGATAAATGAGGGGAAAATAAAATACATAAAATGGAGTACAAATAAAAAAATAAAAAAATAATGAAATAAAATAAATAATAATAATAATAAACATGGTTAAATATTGAAAAATATTAAGAAGATAAATATTAAAAAACCAAAAGAAAATAAAATAAATAAATAAATAAATAAATAAATAAAAGGCCCAATTTGAATGATATTGAAGATGGAATGATTACACCAAAGATTAATCCCTTAAAATCTAAAAACATTTACCTTACATATGTGTCAAGCACGTGGACCCTATTAATAGATCAATTTGTGTGTGACATATTTAAAACATATTTTTAAATGTATTTCTAAAACCATATTAGCATAATCAACTTGATTCCAAAACATGGCACCCATAGTGACATTTAAAACATATTTTATTAATCCTAAATTGCATCTTCTTCTCACCTCACACCGCCGCTCAAAGAAGAGAAAGGAAACTCCTTTTTTTCTCTGCTTTGAAACTAGGAATTTCATAGAAGAAATTGGTCACCGTTCTTTGGCTATAAATTTGTGACCACCTTCATCCACCCATGGGTTCCTCAGTGGAGATCCAGTATACGAGAAAGGGAGAGCGTGAAGGCTTTCATTGAAAATGAGCTTTCCTCTTCGAACCGAGGTAATATACTTCTCTCTACAATCATTTCTCTCTCATTTTTTATTTTTCGAATGGGTTTGGATATTTTTTCTCGGTACTTGTTGCTTTCGAAACAAAACCGTATCTCTCCCCTTGACTTGGTTCGAATGCTCTCCCGAACCCCTTCGTTTTCTCTCGGATTTCTTCCCTTTTTTGTATATCTTCTGCGTGAAAATCTCTCCCTTTTGTGTTGATTACAAGGGAATTTATAGGGCCTGAGAACCCCTATTTTGGGTGTTTAAATCCTACTAAAACATTAATGCTTCGTTGGTGTGTTTGACTGTTCCGAGGAAATCGGCGTGGATGCGAGTCGTTGGGGTGAGACGTGCGGCTGTGGGAATCTACACGTCTGGTGGAACGGCGCTGGCTTGGAACGACAGAACTAGGGTCACTGCTGTTGGGCCATTGTTTAACTAGCATTTGGGCTGCAATAACGAGCTGGATGTAATGGGGTGACTGGGTCTGTAAAAGAAAAAAAAGAGAATAAATATGTAATTATAATAATAGTATATTATAGTATATAGTATAATATGTTTATGTAACACATTGTATGGTACAAATTAATATTATATAATATAATAAACTAATTAAATGAATGACTCGAATTGGACGAAAATGAGTGTTTACAAAAGTTAAATTAAATATGTGTATTATATAATTAAATAAGGCATTTTATCACGACATTTGTCTCGGTTTGGGTCCCCCTTTTAACATGGCCTGTAAGCATAAGCATCTGGAATCATTTCGTTTCATGCATGCCATGGCAGCCAGATAAAGAAAGAAGAACGATCTATTTCATCATATCTTGCAACACTAAATGCATGTTTGAACATTTCGATGCCAAAAGTTGAAGAGAGTCTGTCGTCGGGAATTTTCTTTTAAGAAGTATTGCAAAAAATCAGCATTATAATAATTAATACATATTCCAATATAAATTAAAATTAATTTTCATACAAAATTTCACAAATATTTGACATAATATGTGAAATGTCTTTAATTAATTGATCCATATTTTTATAGATAATAATTTGTCCTATTATTTTTATATTATTTTGATTAAAATTAAGATTTAAAAAGAAATAATTAATGATTAAATTAAAGTGTAAAAATAAATCCACAATGTGTGTATAATTTAGAGATAAATATTGGGATTCAAACCTTTATGACATGATCATGAAATTTATGGTGAAATTTGAATATATAAGAATTTAAAAACAAAAATTCTTAACAAGTAAGGCAAAATTTTTATAGATAATAATTTGTCCTATTATTTGTCCATATTTTTATAGATAATAATTTGTCCTATTATTTTGATTAAATTTAAGATTAAAAAATAAATAAATAAATAATGATTAAATTAAAGTGTAAAAATAAATCCATAATGTGTGTATAATTTAGAGATAAATAATGGGATTCAAACCTTTATGACATGATCATGAAATTTATGGTGAAATTTGAATATATATAAGATTTTAAAAACTAAAATTATTAACAGGTAAGGCAAACTTTTTGTTACTTTGTTAGAAAATATTGTTTTAAAATAAAAAATAGGGAAATTAATGTTGTTTCCTTTTTTATATACTCTCTAGTCTCATTTTTGGATGAATCTTGGGTAGGTGACAGAAACCCCTTCGGCCACAATTGTGTGAAATTTTGTTTATTCTATCTAAAATATATAAAATAAAAGATAAATTATATCAGATATCATTAAACTCTGAATGACGTATTATTTATATTAATAAATTTTTAATTTTTTCAATTATAATATTAAATTTTTATTTTAACTTCAATTATAACACCGAGTCATTAAATTTAACAACATGATAACATTAATATATCTTTTTATCACTATAATGAAGTAGACAAAATAATATTGTTTTGATCATGACTATTGATGCCTAAAATGATGTCATTTTAGGCACATAACTTTAAGGGTGTATCAATTTATCACTAAACTATTAATCAATTTACTTTTTGGTATTGCATTTTTCGATCGTCGTTGGTAACAAATCATTGCCCGTCATTGGTTCTCTTTCGCATCAAGATAGATACTAAACTATTAATCACTCTTATTTCTTCTTATAGGATTGTTTTTCTATGAAACTCACTCAAAATCAATACAAATTCATTTAAAATAATACTTCGATCTCTTCTGATGACCATTTGATGAGGCTAGTTTTGAGTTATATTATTACTTTTTTTTAATAATGCTTTCCATTGTTCGAATTTTTGAACAAACACCCAAGATCCCTCAAATCTAAAAAAATCCTCAAACCCCTAAAAATAATAATTTTTTATTTAATTTCGTCAATTTTGAGTGTGGTTCATAGAAAACTAATCATAGGAGAAGAACGTTGGTAACAAATCATTGCCCGTCATTGATTCTCTTTCGCATCAAGATAGGTACTAAACTATTAATCACTCTTATTTTTTCTTCTAGGATTGCTTTTCTATAAAACTCACTCAAAATCGATAAAATTTCATTTAAAATAATACTTTGATCTCTTCTGATGAGGCTAGTTTTGAGTTATGTTATTAGTTTTTTTTTTGAAATAATGTTTTTCATTGTTCGTATTTTTGAACAAATACTCAAGATCCCTCAAATCTAAAAAAGTACTCAAACCCCTAAAAATAGTAATTTTTTTGTTTAATTTTGTTAATTTTGAGTGTATTTCGTGGAAAACTAATCCTAGGAGAAGAACGTTGAGTGAAATACGAATGTTTCTTTACTAACTTTGTAGCGAAAGATGACTGATGATAGATGATAATTGGCTATATATGACAATAAAAAAAGTGTAGTATCGAAAAGTGAATTGTTTAAAAGTTTAGTGATAATATCGATACAACTCTAAAGTTTAATGCTTAAAAGTATGTCATTTTAGACATCAATTATTGCACAAAAATGATATTGTATTGTCCATATGATCACATCTTTTGAATTTTAACAACATAATTATATAATTGAAGTTAAAATTAAAAGTTTAGTAGAATAAACAATATACACCTAAACTTCAGTGGTATTTTATGTAGTTTACCTTAAAATAATATAATTTTGAATTCAAATTTCAATTTTTTTTTTTGATATGGTAAGAAACTTGGATCAAGGGAACCTTGACACCTACACCCTTCTACCTCTGCATTGTACCGACGAGTGTGCCTTTCTCTGTCTCAATCCCCAATAAATCCCCCCTTTTCCCCACCTTTTCCCCGTACTCTTATTTCTCACAAAAAAGCTTATTTTTTCTCTTCATCTTCTTCCCAAATAACCCACTCTTTTGTTGATTCCCCTGTACTGTTGTTTACTCTGTTCAACAATGGCAACTTCAAAATTCAATCTTGCTTTGTCCCTCGCCATTCTCTCAATGTGGGCCATCGATGCCGCCCACCACCATGCGACGGCGCCGTCTCCTTCCGTGGACTGCTCCACTCTGATTCTCAACATGGCGGATTGTTTGTCGTTCGTGTCGAGTGGGAGCAAGGATACGAAGCCCGTGGGGTCGTGCTGTTCCGGGTTGAAAACCGTGTTGAAATCCGGACCCGAATGCTTGTGCGAGGCTTTTAAGAGCAGCGCTTCTTTGGGTGTTACTTTGAATGTCACAAAGGCCATGACTTTGCCCGCTGCTTGCAAAGTCTCTGCCCCTTCTGCCACTAACTGTGCATGTAAGTTAACTCGGCTTTAACTCGTATTCTGGTTGAAAGTGTAGTTTACCTTTTGTTCGGTATGATGTTGTTGGGGGAAGTGAATCTCTAATTGCATGGATTTTCAAAGGGGTGCAAAAATTTGTATAATCTTTACCAAAGTTGTGATCTTTTTGAGCGAAAATCTGCCATTTTATGTTGCAGTAAATGTTCATACATTATTTATAATAAAAAAAAAACATATGTTGTATATTAGAACTGATGACTAATACTTTTTGTTAATTCTTGCAGTGTCTCCTGCTGGTGCTCCAGGTATGTTCTGATACATCTAGTCCTGTCTGGTTTCCCTTTCCTAAAAAAACCCAAAATTTCAAGAGTTTTAAAGTTTTTTTATGCCCCTTTTTGTTTAAGCATTGGAAACTGTTTAATTTTCTTTGCAAACTTGTAGGTATGTCACCATCAGCAATAGCAGGTGCGCCGGAATCATTCTCAGGAGGAGCAACTGTGGCGGCGCCGGCACCGGCTCCCGGAAGCTCAGGCTCTCCGGTCCTTACTGTCTCAATCGGATCTCTTATCTTAGACCTCGTAGTTATGTTAACCTCTAGCTACTAAGCTATATGTTATGGTGTTTAATTAGTTTACCCTTTGGTTTCTATGCTGGGTTGGAATAGTAGATATCATTGATATGGTGACGAGCTTTTGGACTCATCCTTTAGAGTATTTTAGTATGATATTCAGAACTCGTAGTGTGTATGGATCTGCCATTAAATATATCTACGGTTTTGAATTCATAGATTATGTTCAGTCCCCACCATGTTATTCTGTCACGTGAACTCATTGATGGGTGTTTCGAAACGCCGTTGCCGATGCGATCTTTGTGGTCCCGGCGTGCCCGTCTTTGTCTACGGCATGCTTTAGGCCTTGTGAACAAAATCTCGCTCTGCCAAAAACCAAAGAGATTTCTGATATAATCCTAGAAAGCTAAATTTGAGAAGAGGCGTAAACATGAACCACATAAATGTAGGGTTCTAATTCCGATTTTGGAGCAACATATCCGAAATGCATCAGCCACAATAAGCATCAACGCCGGGATTAGCAGATGAGTTGATCTCATCTTGCGGGAGACTGCGAAGCAACAGAGACATCACCGCCACTGGCCTGAGCTATGATATCCGGTGACCTACCCATGAATACATACAATATAAGTATACAGACAACGGGTAATGGTCATGCGAGTATATTTTTAAATCAACGCCACACTTTCTATCCGATCATATACCTATCATTCATTGTCTAACAGCAACTTTACATATTACATAAATAATAAAATATAAAATAAATGCAGCATAAAAAAATAAATTAAATTTTAATTGAGTTTATGTCCTAACATTTGGTTAAATTATAACTTATGTCTTATAAAATCTTAAGATTTATAGAATAGTTTTTGAAATTATACCTAACATTTGGTTAAATTACAATTTATGTCCTATAAAATCTTAAGATTTATAGAATAGTTTTTGAAATTATACCTAAATTCATAATTGTTTAAAATTTAGGTGGTAGGTAATTAGTAGGTGGGTAGAATGTTGAGCAATCGCAAAGGCGAAATTAGGATTTTATTATAACGAGTTAAAATATTTTTTATTTTTCATAAATACATTTCAAATTCATTTTTAATTGAGGGGTCTGATAAATTTTTTATTTGTTTTTAAAAAATATATATTTTTATATTAATTAATAGTTAAAAATATAATTGGCGGGCCAAGACTCCCCTTACCCGCCCTTGGGAGCGAGTGAGGTCTTAAAGACTTAAACTCATTATCTATATGGGTAGGGTGTAACTTCACATCCATACTTGTCTACTACCCACTAAACTTATATCTATCTATCTTCAATTAAAACGGATGCGATACAAAATCTATAAAATTATATCCGTATGTGATCCCTACCGATCACAGACAGTGTTAAACTGCAGACATAGCTCATGGAAACAGAAGACAAAAGTCAATATGTTTTCTATATATATATATATGCACACACGCCTTCCATTTTGGATAAATGTTTATTCACTTTAGCAGCACAACCTTGACAATGAATGGACACCAGCATGACAACCACCTGTAGTGTCTCATTTACAACATTAAAAGACAATCCATATATACAGAATTATGTGCTCCTTGTAGGAAATAAGAGTTTTAGTATGTATGCTGAATTATGTAGGAGAACCAAATCGACAAGGAACATTAATCTCGGTTATGTTTCAAAGCTAGAGGTGACGATCAGTAAGTTCGTATTTATCTATGTATATATATGGATATTACAATAAAAGTGGTTCAAACTGCTGTATCATTTCCATATAAAGAAAGGGTTATATAAACTTCTTTCCAAGATCTGTTCCTTAAAACATTAGATCATATATTAGCAGTATAATGGAAGGTAAGGGTGTGCAAAAATATCCGACCCGGATGACTCGATCCGTCGATCCGAACCTAAAAAATAAGGTAATTTTTTTAAAAAAAATTACCCGGTTAGGTTAGGCCCAGGTCACAAAATTAAATTTTTCCGAGTACCCGAGTACCTGGTTAGGGATTTTTTTTATATATAAAATAATATTATATCATTATATATTTAATTATTAATAATATTATATATTAAAGTAAAGTAAACAACTAAACAGTGTTTCGTCATTTTAATTCTATTAAATTTTAGTTATATCTAACAAAACAAGTGAAGCTTTGGATGTCACGTATGAAGAACAATTTTCATAAGCCATAAGTTCGAAACTTTGGTAAGTTATTCAATTTTAGTTATATTTTCATTGATGAAAGTTTTATTTGATACTTGTTTTGATGAAAGTTTAGTTATGTTTTCGTTTTGCATTTTTGTAAGATATTTATTGTTGTAAACTTATGATTTATTTATATCTAATAAAAGAATTGATTGTAAGAAAGAAGAATGACAAATGAAGAAGTGTAACCATGATCATGATTCAAGTATCAAGATATCTACTCATATATTTAACTATGAACTTTTATGTTTTATTTATGTAATGGATTATTAGATTTTGTATTTCAAACTTTTAAATTTTATGTTTGGATGTTGGACTATGTAATTCGAAATTTCAAACATTTAAATTTGTGTGTGTGTTTTAATTAATAATTTGAAAAAAACCCGGGTATCTGGGTACCCGAAATACGAGTACCCATAAAATCCGGGTACCCGTTAACATCCGAGTCAGGACACGGGCCAAGAAATCAATTATCCGAAGATTCGGGTACTCGGCAATTCGGGTACCCGGATTTGCACACCCCTAATGGGAGGCATGATCAAAGATTCAAATAGCGTCCGAGGTATAAGGATCGTTATATCGTGGTCGCGAAGCCGTCCATTATTGTTATTGTCCAAAATAACAGTGTGAAACGGATTCACATCAATAGCGATCGATAACGACTGCAATTTAACTGCTAGCAGCCGATCACGGTGGTAACAGACAATTATTGCCGTTTTTCCCGTTACACCAAGTCAACAACACACCAAGTCAAGAACAAGAATTCAATCATTTAAAAAAAAATAAAAATAACCCAACTGAATAATTACATGATCATCTTATTTCTTGCTTCTTGCTTTAACTGCTTCTTTCTTCTTGTTTTTCTTTTGGTGTAATATGCAAAATTTTGAGAAAAACTTGTGCGTATTTTCGGTAGGAATCGAAGTAGAAAGCAAAGTAAATTTAAGAACTTAAAAAATTAACAAGAAAGTGGACATTTTAAAAAAAATTAAACCCAATTCTCTCTTATTTTTGTTCTGCTGTTTCTGCATCCCTTCTCTCACTCAAGCACACGATAGAAAAGGAAGAAGAAGGGATATGGGGAGTTAATAATTTATGTTTTAATTTTTTTTACTTTTAATGTTTTGGGTTTGGACCAAAACAGATCCAATAATTTAATTAGATTTAAGTTATAAACTTATAGTATCATGAGTTTTCTATTAAATAAATAATGGGTTATTTTTAATTTTATTAGTTTTAAATTATAATATTTTGATTTTGGTAAGTGAATAATAATGAGTAATTTTATGTAGATCTGAAAAATTTGATTCGAACCCGATTACCTGAATCGATTTACCCGACCAAATACCCGATATTAACCCGAACATGATAATCAAATTTGATCCAATACCTGACTCATACCCTATCCAAAATTTAGCGAAACTGAAATCAATCAAATCGAAATTGAAATTAACTCAAACCGAAAATAACTCGAATCGAAAGCAGCCCAAACCGAAAGCAACCCAAACCGAATTTAACCTGACCCAAAAGCAACTTGAACGGATTGAAATTGATAAAAGTTATTAAACAATAAAAGTTATTTTCAATAATAAATTAATTTAAATAAAATTAATAATTTATTAAAAAAATTATATTTATAACAAAATAATATAAAGTTTAAGAAGAATATAAAAGTAAGAATCTAATTGTAAGAATGAAACAATAATAAATAAAGTTTACTTATCTTACTTGTTATGAATATATTAGATTTATAATAAAAATAATAGAAAACAACTTAAAGAAAGGATATAATATTAGATTTATAATAAAAATAATATAAAGTTTACTTATGTTACGACTAAAACTTAACAAATAAAGTTATATATATATTTTTTAAATTTAATAAAAAAAATTATAATTGGAAATAAAAAAAATTAATAAAAAATTATTTTTTATCAAATAGTTCTAATTATAAACTTTTCATACGATACCAATATAAAATTTTGTTAACAAATTCTAACATGTATTATATGATCATATTTTTGTTAAATTATCGATATATCATCTCTAAATGATGATTTAATTCAAAATATTGAACGATTGATAATTGAAATTAAACATAAATGATAAATTTAACAAATAAAAAGACATAATTTTACAAATATATATCAATTATTCTATATAAACTTGATTTTGATTAGACTCGTAACCAATTCAACCCGAATTGACCTAATCTAAAGGTTTACCTAAACCGAAAATCAACAGATCCAATATTGACCCGACCCGAAATATAACCGATCTGGTATTAACCCGACCAAAAAAAATCAATCGATCTGGTATTGACCCGATCTAAAAATCAACCGATCTGATATTGATCCGAACCGGAAAACAACCGATCCAATAATCACCCGACCCGAAAATTTACCCGATCCGATTCACCGTACACCCGAACTAGATCCGAACCAGATTCGATTCGATTTGAACAAAATTAAATCGAATTTAATCTAGGCCCGAAATTATACGACTCGACTCAAACCCGATCCGGATGACCCGTTTGCCGCATCTAATTTATGGGTTAATTTTTTTAAAATAGGTTAAGATTTATTTGTGAGACTGAATGTTCAATTTAAATTTTCTACGCCAAAACTATTTTTATAATTTATTATTCTATGCAATAAGCTTAATTTTTTCTTTATTAGTAATGCATATTATTTTTATTATATTATTGATAATAGAAGTAATGGATTGTTTATATTTCTAAATTCTAATTCTATTTTCATGTTTCTTGTATATAAATAAGGGGTAAATTTATAGGTTAATTTGTTCTTTCATAGTTTTAAGATTTTAATAAATATTAATTTCTGTAGAAACATCCAATTGTTGCATTGAAAACTTTATGCAACTCTCGTTCCACGTTGAACTCAATTTTTAAAATTATGTTCACATACTAATAGAAGTTTATATGTGTTAGAAAGCTCTCCAAAAACCATTAAAGGTGATTTTTTTATAATTATGATTATGATTAT